TCTTGCCCTGTGCGCTGCTGCGCTGCTTGGTGGTGCCCCGGGCCGGGCGCCCGCTCTTGCCCTGTGCGCTGCTGCGCTGCTTGGTGGTGACAGCAGGAGCTGCGATGCTGGAGCTCAGCACGCGCGGCGTCACATTACCTTCACAGCGTTTCCGCGAGGCTAGCTCGTTTTATTATTATTAATACCACTACTTCGCTGCTCGGCCCGCGCTCGCTCTTGCCCTGTGCGCCCCGGGCCCAGCGTCCGCTCTTGCCCTGTGCGCTGCTGCGCAGCTTGATAGTGCCCCAGTCCCGGCGCCAGCTCTTGCCCTGTGCGCTGCTGCGCTGCTTGGTGGTGCCCCGGTCCCGGCGTCCGCTCTTGCCCTGTGGGCTACTGCGCTTTTTGGTGGTGACAGCAGGAGCTGCGACGCTGGAGCTCAGCACTCATGACGTCACATTACCCTCACAGCGTTTCCGGGAGGCTAGCTCCTTTTATTATTATTAATACTGCTACTTCGCTTCTCGGCTCGCTCTTGCCCTGGGCGCCCCGGGCCCAGCGTCCGCTCTTGCCCTGTGCGTTGCTGTGTTGCTTGGTGGTAACACAACCCAGGCCGGCTTCCTGACGGTGTGGCCATCCGCGTGCTCTATGCCCAGGCCTCGGAGTTCGATGTGTCCTGTGCGCTGCTTGATGCTTGCTGCTTGATGGTGCCCCGGGCCAGGCGCTCACTCTTGCCGCGTGTTCCCCTCACTGCTCGGCCGCGTCCCGGGCCAGGCGCTCTATCTTGCCCTGTGCGTCGCTGCGCTGCTTGGTGGTGCCGTTTGGCCAGGCGCTGCCGCCTCTTCGTGCGACCCTTGCTGTTCGGCCGTGCCCCGACCAGGCGCTCGATCTTGCCCGGTGCCCCCTTTGCTGCTCGGCCTGTGCTCGCTCTTGCCCTGTGTGGCCCTCCCTGCTCAACCGCGTCCGGGGCCAGGCGCTCCTTCTTGCTCTGAGCGTGGCTGCGCTGCTTGGTGGTGCACCGTGTCCAGGCGCTGCCGCTTCTCCGTGAGCCCCTCGCTGTTCTGCTGTGCCCAGGCCAGGCGCTTACTCTTGCCTTTTGTGCTGCTGCGCTGCTTGGTGGTGCCCCCGGGCCAGGTGCTTCTGCTTCCCCTTCAGTCCCTCTGCTTGGCCTCGCTGCTTGGCCTCACCCTGGACTAAGCACTCGCTCTAGACCCTGTGCCCCTCGCTGCTTGGCCGTTCCTCGGCCAGGCCCTCACTGTTGCCCTGTGTGCCACTCTTGCCCAATGCCCTGGGCCTGGCGCTAGCGCTTGCCCTGTGTGCTGCTGCGCTGTTTGGTGGTGCCCTTGGGCCAGGTGCTTCCACCTCCCCGTGTGCCCCTCTCTACTCTGGGCCAGGTGCTCGCTCTTTCCCTGTGTGCTGCTCCACTGCTTGGTTGTACCTATGGGCCAGGTCTCCCCCATCTCCCCATGTTCCACTCGATGCTGGGCTGTGCCCCTTGGCCAGGTGCTTGCTCTCGCCTCCTGCTCAGTCGTGCCACTTACCAGGCCCCCTGCCTCCCCGTGTGCCCTTTCATTGATTGGTTGTGCCCCTTAATTGTGGTTGTTCGGCATCTCAATGAGGGTTGCCAGAACTTGCCTGTTAGGATTGTTCTCCTAGGTTAACATCACTGTCTTGATCTCTTCTGTGTAGCTCCTTGCAGAACTGTGGCAATAGCATCTGTGGTTTGCTCTGCTCATCCTCAGAGAGGTGGTCCAGTAGCACCTGTAGGTGTGATTTGTGCCTCATCTTATTTAACTTTGACAGAAATCCTTGCAGATTAGGCACTGCTATTAGCCCCATGATACTGGGGACACTGCTGGATTATTCTTCGAAGGACACTGCCAGTTCCTTGTCCTCCCCCTTCTAACTAGGTTAACATCATTGTCCTGATCTCTCTTCTGTGTGGCTCCAGCCTGTGTTTCTTGGTCAAGTATACTTGTGTAGTACACACCTTCCCCTCCATTCAAGACAATTCCTTCACAGTGCCTCAAACGCTCTACCTGGATTTCAGTTAGACCCTAACTTATCTACCTGCTGGAATATACAGTCCTCTCCTTGTTGGTGGGTGATGTGTTTCAAAACCCAGTGGATGCCTGCAACCAACCCTGTATATGCTGTATTTTTTCCTGTACCTACATACCTAAAATAAAGTTTAATTTATAGAGATGAACAATAATAATAAAATTGAGATATTATAACAATATACTGTGATAAAAGTTATGTCAATGTGTTTTCTTTCTCAGACTCTCATTTGTACTGTACTGTCATATGTACTATACTGTATTTTTGGAGCTGGGGTGCGTAATTGAAATCACAGAAAATTAAAGTAGATAAGGAGGACCATCATACTATTACTTATTGAGAGCTCATGGTGCCAGATATCTGTTGCTAGGTAACCAGTCAAACTTCATGGTGTAAAACAGCAGTGGTTATTTTATTATGTACCCTACTTTTGTGGACAAGGAATTTGGTAAAGGTTTGGCTGGGCTGTTCTGGCTTTAAAGGTTGGTTGGTTTGTTTGTTTGTTTATTTATTTATTTATTTAGTTAGTTAGTTAGTTATTGGAACTGGAGATTGAACCCAGAGGCCCTTAACCACTCTGCCACATCCCCAGCTCTTTCTATTTTTCATTTTGAGACAGGGTCTTGCTAAGTTGCTCAGGGCTTTGTTAAGTTGCCATGGCTGGCCTCAGACTTGTAATCCTCCTGCCTCAGCATTCCAAGTTGCTGGGATTATAAGCATGCCCCAGCGTACCTGGCCTGGCTTTAAAGATTTTAATGCCATTGTGTTTAAATTGTGGCTTGACTTGGAATATAGGTTAGTAAGGGATGTAACAGCTGGAGGCTAGTGGAGTGTCTTTTCTTCATGTAGTCTCCTAGGACCTCCCCACGTGGTCTCTTTACATGTCTATTTGGTGTTTTCTTGGGAGATTTGGATCTATAACAAGCATCTGAAGTTTTCAAGAACAGTTCCAGCAAGCAGAGCAGAATCTGTATCAACTTTTAAGACCACAGCACTTCAGAAAGGGCAGAGTGTCCTGTCACCTCTGCTTTACGGTATTGATCAAAACAGCCCCAGAAGCCTGCTGAATTTTAAGGGGAAAGGATGTTGACCCTGAGGTTGGGAGTAGTGATGTGAGATGGCAGTCTTTGAAAATACAGCTTGCTACAGTGTATCAGAGGTGAATAAAAGTTGTCATTCTCCTTAAGGAATTTCGGGTCTAGCTGGGAAGGCACACCTGCAAACATGATTTTTATGACTATGAAGTAAGAATATAAGTGTACCTATAAAGGGATTGGGAGAAGGGGTTTAGCAGCAGTGCTTATGTTTTCTGAAAGCTCACCTGCTGTGCCGGCCACTAAGCTCTTTGCATTGTTGCTTCATTCTCATGGTAACCTGCAGATAGGTGCTGTTATTAGGTCTAGGATTCTGGAATTTAACTAGCTTGTCCAGCCAGGTTCCGTAGCTGAAGAGTGGCAGAGCTGAGACTTGAGTCGGGCTCTGCCTCTGTAGAGTTTGTAACCACTGTGGCTGATTCATAAACTGATTATTCTGGGCTTTGAAGGGACCTTGGCTCTGAACATGCATTACAATGCATGTAGCTGGAGGAAACCTTGGTGGCAGCTAAGTTGTGAGGTCTGGGCCATTTGGGATCTGTCACGTTGTGTTTTGTTTTTAACTTGAATAAGAGAGTGAGGCATAGAAGGAGAAGAGGCTCCAGCTTCACATTGGGGTGCCAGGAAGGTGTCCCCTAGTTTCACTGATGAGATGTAGTTATGGAATCAACATCAGGCAGCCATAAGAGCTTTTTCAAATAGAAGAGACAGTGAGCTTTCTGTTCTAGAAAAATTGTTTTGAGGCTTCAGTAGAAGACTTGTTTGAAGCAGGGAAATCAGTTCATTTCCTCTGATATGAAAGAGGAGGACATCTCCATACAGTAATAATGAGATTTGACAGAAACACTTGTGCTTTCTCTTTTTTTTTTTAAAAAAAAGTAGTATTTTGCATGATATACACAATTGGTTTTGATTTTTTTTTTATTATTTGTCATTTTTCCACCTTTTTTCCCCCTCTTCTCTACCCACTCCCTCCAGAACTCAGTATACCTTTATTAAGCTCCTGCTATGTCGGTACCAGATATATAAATAATTCTCATTAAGAAGGGAAGTGCCATTACAGTGGTGATAGCTAATACTTTGGATTTTTTTTTTTCAGTGTCTATTTTTTTGGTGACTGGGGACATTCAAATAGAAGGATGAGTCATCTGTAATTTTACTTTCTTTGTTGGGGAGGAACTAAGTTATTTGGCTTATAAATGTGAAAGAAATGCTTTCACATTTCTTTCAATAGGTCAATAAGGTTTATTTGTTTATTTATTTGTTTTTTGAGATTGAACCCAGGGACATTTTACCACTGAGCTATATCCCCAGTCCTTTTTATTTTGAGACAGGGTCTCCCTAAGTTGCTGGGAGACTCACTAAGTTGCCAAAGCTGGCCTCTCACTTGAGATCCCCCTGCCTCAGCCTCTTGAGTTGCTTTGGTTGATGGGTTTTGGTGGACTGGTGATCTCTGTGTTGTGTTGTATTAAAGGACTTCATGACCCCCGTGTTCCTCTGCAGACTAACCCTTCCTGGAAGAGTTGTGGAGAATGGAAATGAGCAGGGATCCTACGACGCAGATAAAGGTACCCCTCTGTAATGCGCGTGGTCCTTCCCTTGGTTCTTCCTGTTAGCTTGTCTGTAGATAGTCTTTCCAGAGTACACCCGGGGACCTAGGTGTCTCGCAGTCGCAGTGGGCTCCTGACACTCTGTACCGCCTGCTGCCTTTATTCGTGATTTTTTGACAGTTAGAATTTCCTCAGTCCTTTAAAGTATTTCATAGTATTTCTTCAAAGCAAAGTTGAGTTAAATACTCTGACCCCATTTTCTAGAAGTACTTCTTCTACATTAAGTAGGTGTTTAAAAGTAAAATGGGATGATTGATTATAAAAGGTGTGGATGATTCATAAGCTTTTGAATGGAATCTTTCTTGTACAATTTTCAAAGTTGAATTTTAATAGCGGGTAGATGAGAAACTATCCATGGGTGGCATTTAAAGCCTGATTGAATTTCTTCTCATGATTGATAAGTAGCTCATTTTAGCTAACCGTGGAACCATTTATTTTCCTTTTCTAAAAGCCACTGGATCTGTAGTAAGAGTGTCTTGTGTACGCTGTGTAATTATGCACCAAGGTAGAGAGAGGAAAGGCAGGAAGTTGTTAAAGCAGAGTTCTCACAGTGCAGCATGAGAACAGTGACCCTGCTGTCCTAGAAGGAAGTCTACCTTTAGTTACAGGTCGGTTGCGTATAGAAATGAAGTCACTAAATTGTGAAAGTTCATGGACGTTTAATAAGGTCAGACTCGTGGAAATGTTTTGGTTGAGTTGTATCTGATATGTTGGGATGTAGTTGATGCATTGAAAGAGCTGAGATGTTTGAAATGCAGAGTAGTGACTACAGGATTGTAGGGGCTGGACGAGGTTGATGGACCAGTCAGGAAGGGGGTGTGCATACACTGGAGTGGCTGGCAGAAGACTTCAGGGGTGGAGTCCTGAGATATCAGAGACACTCCTGTGAGCCACAGTTGCTTTATTTAGAATATTTTGTATTTTGTAAACTGCTGTTCTCCTTGGATTGGATACCTGATTTTCCCCCAGCCCAGAAATATATTTTACATTTATATGTTTTATAAGTAACACTTGGTTAATTCTAAGCTGTTACCTCCTCAGGCCATTGATGTTCAGAAGTCTTGATTTGGAACTTTAATAGTCTCAGTGGGATGAGGTGATACTGGGTGGGATTAAAGCACTCCGGCCCTTGAGCAGTTGGACCTGGAGAAGTAACAGCTCCTGAAAAGCCCTGTCTGAGCCCCTTGCTGTTTTGAGTTGTGTTCGCTAAATCGGTATCGAGGACACATTTTGGAGCCTAGTGAGTTAAAATTGTTTTACCAAGATGAATATTTCATAGGTATATTTGCGAAACCTTTGAAAGTTTTAATTTGTCTAAGCATAAAACAAATTTATATTTAAGGAATTTTTACCATTCGATTACCCAAAGAAACTCCTGGCGAGCATTTTGAGGGGCTGAACATGTTGACTGCTCTTCTGGCACCCAGAAAACCCAGGACAGCCAGACCACTTGTGGAAGAAATAGGTAAGTGCTTTGCAGTTGGGGAGAAATGGAGATAATTAAAAATGTTTAGATTGCTGTGTGTTTCTGGGGGAGAAACGATTTAGTGAGTAGCAAATGGGAGAGAATATCTTAGGTGACAACATGAGCTCACTTTGGTGTTCTGATTAAGAGATATAAAGAACCCACTGGACCAGCAGATGCTCCACATTTTTGGACCAACTAAAACATTGTCTTGTCTCAGTCAGGATATTAGCATTTTGTGCTAAGATCAGAAGTGTACGGTGGGAGGAGTTCCCCAGTGTGGACACCAGCAGGGTCTAGAACTGACCCCCAGCTGTGTGGCTGCCCGGGCTCCTCTCCAAGGCCCCACTGCCCTCGTTTAGCCTGTGCCTGAGTGGCATGTGTGGTTCTTACGGGCTGTGTGCTCTTTCACTCAACGTACTCTGTCGGCCTCGTCCCTCCTGCAGTCGTGGCCCTCTGCCCTCATTGCTCTGTGGTGTCCATGTTTCTATATGTGTCCTGCCGCTGATGAGCACTTGGGCTGGCCCCAGTTGCTTGGCTGTCGTGAATAATGGAGCTGTGGCTGTCCTTGTGCTCGTCTTTCAGTGCATATCTGCAGGCAGGTTTTTTGTACAATTTTTCTTCCTCTAATTTTACCTAGGAAATCCAACACTTTAAAAATGATTACCTTTTAATACACACAGGTGCTTCTGAAGAAGTAGTAGAAGACGACGATGGAGAGTTTGATTGGGAAATTGAGCAGACCCCCTATGAAGAGGAACCAGAAAGCCCGCTGAGTCCGCAGTGCAGCTATGGGTTTGGGAACTCCCGGGCAGGAGTGGTTCGGCGGTTGCAGGTACGTGGCCTCTGTGGCAGAGTGGGGACGCAGGGTTCCTCTATGGGCATTCTGTTTCAGTTCTGCTTGTGCTGGGCAGTTTGGATCAAGACGGTGTGTTGAGAGCCCCTGGCACAACTTTTTGCCCATAACTGTCCCCCAGGTGTTTCCCCCCGTTGGCTGTCTGCCCGCCTCACTGCTGTTGCAGACATCCTTGTGCTGTCTGCCCCTTAATTCAGAGAGGAACTTTCCAAATGCCTCCTGGAAAGCTTTGATTAGTACTTCTGGAAAATGGAGACATACTTCTGATGTGAAATGTTCTTCTCTGCACATGAGAGGCTTTCCTAGTGTTTGGATCGGTGGCTCGTCCTGGTGTAGGATAGGTGCTCTTCGTTTCCTCCGTGTGGAGCTCACGTGGAGACTCTCCTTGAGTGCTGCTCAGGAGATGTTGGATTTGGGGATTCTAGCTACTGATGCTCAGTCTCTACTAAGCTGTATTTGGGTTTACCAAGGAAAAGTGAAGGACGTAGCTTGTGCTTCCACATGTGCCTCTGTTTAAATTTGAGATGCTGTGCCAACTACTTGACCACAAATGTTTTGTCTTCTCTTGTAAAATGGGGGGTCAGTGTGCTGTTTGGAAAATTTAAGGAGACACAGCATTTGAAATCTCTGAAAAGTGTAGAAAGCTCTGACAGTTCCTGTCTTTAGGACACAAAGTACTCTCAAGACTCCTAAAGGAAACAGAACTGGGATTTGTACAGGAGTCATGCTGGTGAAACATCTCCTAAAAGCCTGGGTGTTTTTCTGGTGCATCGTGACTTGCATACTCCTCAGCCTGCTCATGTTCCCTGCTGGGCTCGAAGATAGTCAGACCTGAGCCACTTTGTCAGCTGCAGGAACGGCAGTGAGGGACCTCACCTATTTGCTCAAGAGCTAGCTGGTGGTCAGTCTAGGGCCTTTCCAGTCCAAAGCCATAAATAAAGGGTAGTAAATGTCACACAGTCTAAGTACAGATTGTGCATCCCTGTTAAAAGTGTCTCCCCAGCCAGGGTCCTTGGTGCTGGGATTGTTGCTGCTGTGAAGGGAGGAGCCCTGGGGGCTTTCTGACGGGTTCTGAAGGACACAGGCACGCCCCAGCTCAGGCCCTGCGAGAGTGCTGGTGTCTATTGAAAATGTTCTCTACGGTTATTAGAATGATTTTAAACACAAGTAATTGTGAAATGTTCTTGATACCCTGATGCCTTCACTCCGGTGTTAAAAGTCTGTCACCTGCTTGAAAAGGAAACATTCTCAGTGTCATTGAAGTTTTCCTAACTGCTCTTATTATGTTTCCCCCTCAGAAATGAACCATTGAATTTAACGTTTATAGTTCCCCATCGTTTAGCTCTGTTGTCTAAAATCATCAAACTCTTCTTCAAGTTTTAACTGAGAGAACATTGCTTTTATAAACAATTTGTGTATTTCCTCAGAGTTGGAGGGAGCATGAGCGTTTGTCCTAGGAGCTCAGCTGTGAACCTGCTGTACCGCTGGTGGCACAGGGTTTCACCCCACGTGTGCAATACTGGGACCCCCAAAAGTCCTGAAAACCAAAACATTTAAAAATATTTAATTTGGTGGCAACACCTTATCTGAAGTAATATAGGTTTTTAAATATATTTTCATATTTTTATTGGTGAGTTATAAATATACATAATAGTGGGATTCATTGTTACATATTTATAACACAATTAATAGTTGTCTTTTAAATATGCAAGTAGTGTGCATATTCTGAATCTGTACTGTAGAAATTAGAGTGATCTATTTGGATGCCAGGGGGTGCATCTGACTTCTTGGAGGAAGTTAAATAAAGTGTGGTGTCTGCACCATATCACCTTCTCCACTCTGATGGGGGCTGCAGCCTGCATCCCACCCGCTTCAGAGGACCTGGAGGGCACGGCCCCGGGCACTCTGCACCGGCCCACATCACTGCTGGGTCACAGCTCCTTCCTGTGATGGGTGCGCATTTTACCCTGGGACCAACCAGGGGATGTTAGTCTTTACAGAGAATCTTATTTTCTATTAAATTTTAGGAATATGGTGTTGTTGACAGCTATGAAACACAGACCAAGGCTGTGCATGAAGGCTGGTCTCTGCAGGGGACTGGTGTCCCCGCAGGCTGTCGGCACAGAGCCCTACGTGAGTGGCAGTACTGGAGATTTTCTGTCTTCACAGCTGCCTGTGTGTGACAGTTGGAAACTGAGTGACTACGTAGATGATCAGTGTGGCCCTTTCTACCAGTAAAGCAGGTGGGAAATGCTGAAAACAACTATTGCACAAGGAAGAGATCTTAGAACTTCTCTTCTAAGTTAAAATAATTCTTAAAACTTCACCGTCTTCTAAAATACAGTGTTTCCTCACAAGTTCAGTCTCTCCAGTTCTGCCATTGGATGAGAAGGTATCTGTCGTTTGTTCATTGCTCAGGTTTTACTTGTATTCTGACAGCTTCTTTTTTTCCCCCTTCTAAAATTAAAAATGACTATTTTTTTCTCTGATGATAAAAGCGATATAGATTCATTATAAAGATATAATACAAGAAGAAATTAAATCTTCTGTAATTCCAACACCCAAGCATCTTGTCTTCATGGAGTAACTTAACCCTTTACAAGTGGTGTAGTCTCTCCTGTTTTTTCCTGCCAGCCTGTTAAGTAGCTTGTGAATGTCTGTGTTTTACACTGATAAATGAGAAGAAAAAGTTTTTGCTGAAACATAATCTCTTCTTCCCCCCACATCCTTACACACACACACACCCTTCTTTCTTTCCGTTCTGAAATTACTGCCAGCCACCAGGGCGCCTTTGGAAAACGTCCCTGGCTGCTCAGAGTCAGGGCTGCACAACAAGCTTCTGGCACCGGAGGCTGCCAGCAACCACAGTCCCAGAGAGTCTGGGCGCCAACCCAGCAGCCCTGTGGGCCCTGCTGCCAGCAGCTGTGGAACACTGGGCTTGCTGGCTCTTTGCTGCCCTTGGCTGCACTGGGGACCTGGCCTTTGTCTCCAGGGGACGGAGTGGCCAGATGTGTGCGCAGGGCTTCGTTCTTGCTCTGGGCTGCTCTGCTTTCCCTGTGGTAGCGTGCATGAGCCCGACTGAAATCCTCCCTGAGCTTTCCTTGGCAGTGCTTGTCTTAAATGCTCAGACGGCTGGGGACCAGGGCAGAGGAGGGGAATGCTTACCCTCGTTTCCTTCTGTTGATTGTGTCTTACATTTTTATATTCCAAGCCAACTTGGCTTTTGCTTTTTAGTTTATTTCAGTTTTTCCTTAGGGTCTGATTTGAGTTTCCCACCATGTCTGTGTGCAGAGCAGGTCTGGGCAGGACCTGTACTGCCGTGAACTCCACGCTGACCATGTGCGTGTCCTGTGACTGCACTTGAAGGCCCTGAGACAGGAGCCGTGAGAGGAGGGAGAAGGAAAAGAGCCGCCTGCTTACGTACGGGTCAGTCCTCACCCCCAAGAGAGCAGGAAGCTTATCTGTGGTGTAGTGCTGGGTCTCCAAGCCAGCTCCCAGCACGGCACCCGCCAGCAGCAGCCCCGTGCCCTCTGCTCATTCATGGTTTTATACCAAACCAGGCATAGTTCCCAGGGCGCAGTGCAGAAGATAGAGCAGGCCCTGCCCTGTGGAACATTCTAGTGGGTGGCACAGTAAGCAGGTAGACAGCAGATAAGTGAGGTCATGACAGGTTGTGCTGGTGAGACAGGGCCACTCCTTCAGTACAGAGAAGGCCCCTTGAGGACCGTGCTGTGTGCTGCGCTCTGGAGGGTGAGCGGGCACGGTCAGTGCAGAGCCTGGGGTGGGGTTGGTGTGCTGCAGCAGTGGGCTCTGGTTGGCTGGGGCGCGGGAGCCTGGCTGACGGCAAACTGTCGAGCTGCCGTTGGCATGCGGCGTGCCTGTGGGTGCCTGCGGGGGTCCTCCGCAGCACAGCAGTGTGTACCGCCATGATCACGTGAAGGCTCTTGAGTTGGCGAGAGCGCCCTGCGTTATCTAGGTGGGCCCAGTCTGAGCACAGGGTCCTTAAAGAGACCAGGGTCAGTCAAAGAGAGAGGGCCACGTGATGACAGAAGCCTCAGAGGGAGGGTCTCAGGATGTGGGCTGCAGACTAAGGAATGGGGACACCTCTCAGATGGAGAAGGCGAAGAAATGATTCTCCTGTGACCCTGCAGAGCGGCATGCAGCCCAGCCAGTGACTTCAGCCCAGTGAGACTCATTGAGTTCTGACCTCTAGAACTGTAGGAGAGTGAATTGGTGGTAATCGCCACAGCAGAAGCAGCAAGGGAACCCAATCCCAGGCCCATGACGGAGGTGCGTCGAGACTCATCTCACACAGCAGGCTGGGGTTCACAGTGGGTGGCACCACTGGAGCTGGGCTGCAGAGCTGGGCAGGCCTCACTCCAGGGCTGCCCTTCCCCTTCATCAGACTGTCTTCAGAAGTATCTGGGGAGAGTGGAGTGAGGGTTGGGACCAGGGCACTCCTTGGGGCTGGAAGAAGGGAGGAAAAGGGGTGGCCCTCGGGTGACGGGGAGGGACTTGGCATCCAGGGGTGGGAAGTGGCTGTAGTGTTCTGCAGCCAGTGAGCCCAGATGCACTCTAACACCTCCTCTCCCAAGCCTTCGCCAGCACCCCACCCAGTCTGGCAGCACACGCTAGTTTCAGGTAGTGAGGAAGCACAGGGAGACAGAAGGACCCAGATTGCACTACCCTGGGAGACTTTTCTGGTGGATTCTCTCTGTGCACGTACTTCCCAGGCAGACACTGCTGCATGCTCGTTGGGCGGTCCCTGTCGGGGTCCTCTAGGTAAGGGTTACTGCACAGGGCACAAACTTATGGCTTGCCCTGAGAATCTAGCTACTGTTTACTAGTATTTCAATAGAAAAATATATGTTAAGGGCTGGGGCTGGGGCTCAGTGGTAGAGCACTTGCCTAGCCTGGGTGAGGCACTGGGTTCGAGTCTCAGCACCACATATAAAACATAAATAAATAAAAGTTCATCAACAACTAGTAAAATATTAAACTTAAAAAAAAGACAGGTTTCCAAAAAGAAAATTGCAAGGAAACTTTTGGAATGCAAATTTTTTATAAATTTGGGATCGGTCAGAAATCTGGTTTTGCCCAAAATGTTTGTACTTGGAAATATTAAGGTATTCTAGATGTTCCAGTGACTTCCAAAAATGTCTCTGGTCCCTTTGATTGTATTAGAATGTGTTAAGATTAGGTATTATTGCTGTTATTTGACCAGCTAGGTGTTTCCTTTGGTTTCTTTTCAAGTAATGTCCTTTAGGCTTCTTTCACCTTCTCTACTTCTCAGCTGGGCGTGGTGGTGGAGATGGGGCGGTTGAAGAAACGAGAAGCACAGTCACGGGATATTTTACATTGTGTAGGTTTCTTTGCTTCACAATTGTGACCAAAAGAATAAAGACAATATGGTATGCTAGGCAGTTTTGTAATATACATATTTTCAGTAGGATTCCTCTTGGAAAACATGCCATGTATTAACGTGTACTCATTTCTGTGATGACGGTTATGGTAAAGTTGATTCTTAGATTCTTAGATTTTTCAGTGGAAAGTCATATACGTCAAGGTAGCCCACAAAGTTCTTTGATCACTTGGGCACGGTGGTGCGTACCTTTCATCCCAGTTACTCGGATCACAGGTTCCAGGCCAGCTCTGGCAACTCATAGTGTCATCTTGTCTCAAAACAGAAGAGGGCTGGGGATGTAACTCAGTGGTAAAATGACCCTGGGTTCAGTCCCCAGTACTGAAAAACAAAACAAACTAGTCAAGTCCACCTCCAGAGTAGCCCGTGTCGTTTTGTGTGTGCGGCCTCCTGTGAGGACCCTTCTGTGAGACCCGCCGAGCTAGACTTAGGAAGCAGCAGGTGGCTGTCGGTACTCAGCCTTCAGACCTGAGGGGCATCTCCATCACTTGGGAGATGATGGAGAACCAAGTGTCCTGTTTGCTGCAGGGGTTGTATTCCATTGTGGCTTCCTGTGAAGCTGTTGGAGCTGTAGTAATGTTCACCGGTTTGCTTGCTGTAAGGATTAGATGGATCACCTCCAGCAGGGCCTAGTCATTTGCCTGATCTGAATCTCTGGGTCATGGGCACCATCATAGTTCACTGATCCATTAAGAATCTTTCTGTGTTTTGCAATTTCTTTTCCTTGAAAAAGTTGAGTTTTTAAATGCTAAAAATAGGAGATAGCAAATTATCTTTCTTTTTCTGCGTGCTTTAGGATGAGCTAAGTGACGTCATTGACATTAAGGATCCAGATTCTACCCCTGCGGCTGTGCGAAGGCAGAAGCGCCTGGCTGCCGAGCTGGCTAAATTCGACCCTGATCATTATCTGTGAGTACTGAGCTTTCTGAGGACTAAAGAGTTTATTGACATCCTTTTAGGAGTGTCTGACTCCACAGATTGGACACATTTTGGATGCTGGAAATTAGTGGTGGCTGAAAACTTAATTGACCTTGGGGTTAGTTGCAGCTGCCCCCAAGGTGGTGATCTTTTAAGCTCCTCACGTCTTGTTGCTCACCCTAGTAACAGAGGACTCCCTAACATCCTTTCTTGAGGTTTTTCCTACTACGAGTAAGAAAAGAAAGAGTAAATCTATGAGAATCTTACCCTCCTTTTAAGTAGACGTTTGCTGCGTTCGGTGGTATAGGGTGATGATGAGGCTGAACCTCAGGTCCTGCATTTCTTGCTGGCTCAGGGTCTTCCCTGTAATGAGCAGTCTGTTCAGATGACAAGTGTGTGTCCCTGTGGTGGAGCACGAGGTGGCCGTGCTTCTCCCCTGCCTTAGTAGTGTCTGGCCAGAGCGCCTTCTTCTCAGTCTCCATTTACACAGCATGCTTACGTGACTCGCCATCACTGGAGAGGTTGTGATGACAGCAGCCCTGTGCCATCCTCGGTGGCCCCTTTGTGGAGGACGGGCCTGTGCGTCGACTTGGGCCTCCCTCACCGTCCCCGAGGCCGACAGCTCCAACAGCTACACTGCGACTTAATCATCACGGCCCCGCACATCCATACTGGGCGTTCACTTATCAAGTGCTCTAGTGGGATTATCTAATTTACTTTTCACAGCAGACGAGGAAAGGAAGTCCAGAGACTTGACCAAGGTCATGCTGCTGCTGAGTGGCCTGGCCAGGACTTGGAGAGCGTCTCTGCCCTTGTCACTGGTATTTCCTTTCTGTGTACACTATTCTGGTTGAACTGCGGTTGCTCTGTGATTAACGTGCTGTCTCCTGTGACACGAGGATGCTGATTGGACTGGCAGAGATCTGTTTGTGATGTGTGACGATGGTGGGTGGACCTCCTCACCACCCTAAGGCAGCCGAGGGAGAGGGGGCTGTGTTGCGTTTTGGAGGGCGTCTGAGAGGTTGAGCTCCACTTACGTTGCCATTTCTAATTACCTTTCTCTCTCCAGTTGTGGTTTTAAAGGTCCACTGAAGAGTCATCTGAAGAAACCCATTTAAAATCATGCTGGATATTCAAGGTGGAAATTCCATTGTCAGCAGATTTCTCCGGCTAGCATGAAAACAGAATGAGCTTTACAGACTGAAATTTCAGGTGGCGGGAGGGGGGGGCTTAATTAGAACTGCCTGTCTATTCTGAAGCTGGAAGAACGAGAGTGTGGCCCGAGAGAACTGGGAGATTGAGACCGAGAGTTGTCGGGGTGGTATCAGAAGCAGCCCTTGTTCTTCACCTCTGTTTCTTGTCTGGAAGCTCACCTTCTTCAGGAGCATGTGGGAAGGTCCTCTCCCTTGCTCACGGAGGACTTCTTACAGGAGGGGCCTCCCCTCCGTGTAGTCCTGGGCTGGGGCAGAAGAGTGGAGTCACAGGGTCCAGGTTCCTGGTGACTTCTGAGGCAGTAGGACTTTGGCTAGTTGTGATTTGTGGGATCCTTTACTCATTATTCATATTAGCTGGCTGACTTGCCCAAATATCATTTATATTTGATGAAACACAAAGTTCTCGTAAATTTTTAATTAAAAAATTTTAGTTCAGTGCTTTTCCTGTTAGTGGTTAATACAATTTAGAAAACTTATCCCTTTGTGTCCTGTGACCCCGAAGTGGTGCATCGCTCTCATGCTCTTACCCCTTCCATGTGCATGGGTAACGTCTACCTGTGACACTATACATGCTGCGTTGGTGCAGACAGTCCCTGTGTTTAGTTGTCTAACCTGTCCTTAGAGGTCATGAGGTCTCAGGATGTCAGGTTTTGGGGGGGCATATGATGAAAGCTAACTGATTTCAGCCTAAGCAGAACATAGTGAGGTCCACTGACTATAGAAAGGAATTTATAAATTTCAAAGGCAAAAATAATTGACTTTGGATTATTATTTCTAAAACCCTGTGCTGTATACTCTCTGGGTGCTTCTGTGCTGGGACTTCTCTCCTGGTGGGTTTTGTGGCCGCACAGTGCTGGGCATATGACACACTTAAGTTGTCGTTTAATTGTTCACATAGTCTTTGCCTTAACCAATTCATGAGACCGTGCCTCTTTCTTTGGGAGAAAACAGTAGAATTTAATGAAAATCATGAACATCTCTGAGAAAAAAAATAGGACAAAGTGACCATCCACCATTCGGGGACCCTTTACAATTCACGTTATCCAGCGTTTGTTAAGGATGGCAGGCATTTGTTTAAGTGAGCCACGTGTCAGGCAGTGCCGCGGGCACAAGGGGACCACCGTGGTGGCGAGGGGGGCCTGTTGTCGTGATGGCAGTAGGGGGACAGTTCGGTGGTGATGAGGGCTGTGAAGAAGCCGCCTAGGGCTTGGAGCACGACCACACCGGGCACCAACTCCTCTGCCTCAGCTCGTCCCACAGGGGACTCTTCCCGTCCCCTCTGAAGCCTTCGTCCTGCCCCATTTCCCAGCCCAGCCGCCTAGGTTCCCAAGCCAGGACTCCTCTTGGCTCTTCCTTTGCCCCACATCCATCAGTCCCACAGCTGTGCCATTCCTCTCCCTTGTCCTCACCCCCTCTTCTCAGCCCTCAGTGGTTGACCAACATGTTGCCCGGCTTCCCAGGCCGGGGCCCTTCAGCCCTGTCCGCCGCAGGGCTGGGCGGATCCTGAGCTGAGTGAGGTCTCCCGCCTGCACCTGGTGCTCCTGGCTGGAAAGGAGAACCCGAGCCTCAAATCTTCTTAGGAAACTCGTAATTCACGGACCTAGTGGACAGGGCACCACCCCGTTGGATTACTGGAACAGGAGTAGTGGATCTTATTCACTGTCACCAGTTAGACAGAGAGTTGGCAGAGGCGGGTAAACAGGGGGTAGGAGAGCGGTCCACCATGCCAGGTGATGGCTTTCCCCAGCAGACTTGCCCTCGGCCTTGCCTTAGGCGTCCCCAGTGCTCCAGCGTCCAAGGCCCTTGTCTCTCACTGTGCCCTTCTTCCTGGGTGGGTCTGTCCTCTTCCTTGCTCCAAATACTCGTAACTCCCATGCCTTGTTCAAGTACCCAACTTACGTGTCCAGCTGTTATTGGACAGGTCTGTTTTTATGTCACATAAAGGCACTGGAACTCAGCCTGTCCTAAGCCTGTGCCCTGTCTCAGTGACATGGTGGGTGTCCACTGGGTTGTTGACTCTTCTAGTTCCTTAATCCCTCGTCCCCCACCCCAGGGTTCTGGAGGTGGTTTCACTCATGTCCACTGCCACGCTGTTCCTGCGGCCACTACTGTTTCTGCTCCTCCTGTTGGCCCCTTCAACATGTCTTTCCCATATGTGGGAGTTCAAGTATTCAGTTCTTACAGATAAACCCCTGTATTTTAAAACATGAATTACAAGATTGTTGTCACCACAGCATATTATTTTCATCTCCTCTCAGCACTTTTTTCTTCAACGTGTGGCATTATTACCTGGATTTTGACAACTATTCTTCGGCCCAGAATATTCTGTCCAGCCCTCTTAATAATATAAACTAGTGGCCATTCAGTCTTAGCTCTCGCTCCTCCTGGCCCTGGCCTGCCACCTGGGTGCGTTTTGCCCTGGGGTCGTTGCTGTTAAGTGGCTGCAGCGTGTGCTGCTGTGATGCTTCATTCTCCCTCAGGGCCAGGGCGCCTGGTGTCCCACATGCAGCTTGGAACGTGGCACAGAGTTTTGTGGAATGAATGAGTTCTTGAAGCATTTTAGCCATTTACTCTCTTGTTCATCATTTTTGAAAGTCATTTCTTAGAAAAAGCTCACTTTCTGATTTGAGAATGAGTCTATAGTAGAACTTCAAGTTTTTTTTGTTCACTTTAAGGGAAAAAGAAATAGCTAATAAGAAAAGAGGATTCGTTTGTAAAGCCACTGTTTTACCCTAGTGCCATATGCTTTGAGCGCCTGGCGAAAATGGATTTGGAAATTCCTGTTTAAGATACTAGCTATTCAGTCTTGACCCATATTTTTTTTATTTTCTTATTAAACAAAAACAAAAACAGGAAGTTTGTGTTTGTAGGAGCTTGGATTCTGGAGCAAGGCTCAAGTGGGCCCACATCCTGGCCACACTTCCTACCAGCTCACTGTTCTCCAGGCCTCAGTTTCCTCCTATAAAATGGGCGTTTTAACAGCCCCTCCCACACACCCATGGTGATGGTGGGAGGAGGGAAGGTGCCCAGCACTTAGAGCAGTGGCTGGAACCAAGGATGGACTCACTTCTTACCTGGTCTTTCTGATTTTCAAAAGATCTCAGTATCTCAGATGAAAGAAAAAAGTGTCTAAAGTCATAAAAATATCAGCTAGCAAATTTGATTTATCAAAGCAAGCATTTCCTTGAATTTCTCATTGTCTGACACATAGACAAAATTTTTCATGAGCTATGCTTTCTCACTCTTTTCCCAAGAATTCCAGTTTCCAGCCTTGAATGCAAGATAGCATATTTTCTGAGTAAGTGTCCTCCGAGAGTGAGACGTATATTTTAAATATAGCTGTGGTTTTTCTAGTTAAAACTGAGGAAGTGGAGTTCAGGAAAATTAGTTTTCTGTTCTTTACAAAGCTGACTTCTTTTATCTTTCTCAGTAATTTAAAATCAAGGAACTGTTAGCAAACCCAGTAAAATAGCTTGCATTTTTGTAGAAAGTATCCATGCACATGATAAAAAGTGTGTGTGTGTCTGCGCCTCTCTGTGAAGTTGTCCTGAATTTCCTGCTCCGTTTTCCTTTGCTGGTGGTTTGAAAGGTCTTTTCCTTTATTGACACCTTTCCAAAATCTGTGGTGCGTGGAATCCTAGCCCGAGTGCTGGGTCTCAGTGAGTGTGTTCAGGTTCACTTCTCCCACGACACTGAAGGGATGTTCCTTGAGGTCAGGATGACCATCCAGTGCTTCTGTTGAAAGAGATCACAAATGTCACAGATGTCGGCTTGCACACGGTCCTGTGCGGGGGTAGTGAAAGGAGTAAATAAGGGCTCCGTCTTTCCTCGAAACAACTCTGGATTAACAGTCCATGTTTGTAGTGGAGATGTGATGAATGAAGATAAAACTGGAGAGATGGAAGCCAGCCAGTCCTGCCTAACGAGCCATTCACTGTTCCTCCTCAGAGCCGACTTCTTTGAAGACGAGGCAGTCGAACAGATTTTGAAATATAATCCTTGGTGGAATGATCCATATTCAGAAATGATGGCCTGTTTGGGGAAGAGTCGGCAGCCAGAAAGTCATGCTGCGTTAGGTAAGAAACTCACAATGAGACTCGTTTGTTAAAACTTAAAATCTCATGGTGGAAAGCAGGGTGAGAAATATTCTGGAATTGTCTTCTAATTTTGCAACTATATTCCTGTAAGTCTAAAATCAGTTTAAAATAAAAAGTTTTTAAAATAAAAAAAAAATCTCTGAGTACCCAGTTTGCTGCCTTCCCTATTCTTAAGCACATGGTTTTAATTATCTCACAATGTGAAGATATGGTCTTGTATTGTTGATTCTAGAAAAGAGATCCTCCTCCTTGAAAATGCCACTAAATTTACATTTCACTTCTTTGTGTTGGAAAATGCTTTTGAAGTTCAGTTTCCTTTAGAACCATTGGAGTCCTTTTAAATTTTTTTTTTTTTTTTATCAATTTGTAGTAAACTCAGGGGTATTAACATTCAGGACATTTGTGGTTTTCAAAAAAAACTGCTTGAGAGGTACACACAGTCCCGTGGGGAGGCATTTAAGTGTTGGTAATGGTGGGAACAGACCCAGTTCTCTGTCTCTCTCTGTTGAATGAATTTGATATGTTTTCCTTGTTTTTTCACACCCAGTTGTATGAGGAGGCCAGTATGCCTGTGCTCATGCCCACCACTTCCAGGGGACGGGTGGGCCAGCATGTCCCCATGAAAGCTGAGCTGGGGTTTTATGAGCCAGAGGGACGGCTGTGCCATATTTAACATGCAGCCAGACGTGGCCCACAAAGAGTCCTTTCTTAGGAGCGCATGTTATTGCCTGAGTTAAAATAAGAAGTTCCTTCTCTAAGTTCAAGGTTGCATATTAAGTCTGCATGCTCGAGTTGTAACCGTTTCTGATAGATCAAGAACAAGAGTCTGTTTTGACCAACATACTGATTTGGCTTTGACTTATATATTAAAACTGAAATTTCATTGGGTAAATGAAAGGTTCTCTTTCTCTCTCTCAAGAATATTTAATGAAATATAGGCCTTTCCTACCCCAGCTTCCTCTTCCTAAAGTAGTTGCTGGTAATCATTTTATGTATTTTTAAATTCTCTCCCATTGCATTCCCATTCCAACTGCGGTCGCTGCGGGGTCTGTGTGGTGTCTTTTTTTATTCTTGGCCTAGCAGTGCAGTAGTATCTAGTTAAGTGCCTGTTACGCAACAGGTACAAAATAAGTATTTATGGGAAAATAGTTATTATTTTTGTAGTTAAGTTTTGTTAGAGTTTAGGTGATTTCTCGTAGATCAAAAAATCGTTGCTTTTACAAAATAGATAATTGGTTCTATTGCATGAGAAAAACTCATTTATAAAAACCCTTGATACATTTATTGTCTTCAACAAATCCTGGGTTTATATATAATTTAAGAAGCCTTCAGAGAGTTCCCCCATGTCACCGGCAGATTTTCAGGTGTAGAGTTGCTGACATGATTGGGTCGTTAGCTCTGTGCCTGTGTGTCTTCTCAGAAGGTAGCCCAGGCTGAAATGGTGCAGGATGTCTGCTGGCGGACAGGTGTAGCCCAGCACTTCAGGGGGGTGGGGTGGGAAACCCTGGCAGCCGCGCAGTTGAGCTCTCTGTCCACCAGGGAGAGCTAGTTACCCTCGGATCTAAGGAAGGCTTTACCTAGGGAGGCCACCCTGGACTCACATTCTCACTCTTGGGAAGAGCTCCTTCTCTGTCCAGTGTTGCGTTGGAATCACTGCACTCTGTGTGACTTAACGGTGGTTAACCCAGAGTCTGTCCTCCCAACCACGGGCTCTCCTGATCCCCCTTTGTCCCCTGACTTGCACTGGGGGTGGGGCTTCAGGCACAGCGAGGGCTGTGATCTAAGGTAGGGGAGCCTGGGCTCTCCTGAGCAGCGGCCTCCTCCAGTCTGTCCAGGGAGGTGCCGGGCAGCTCAACGCGGCTTGAGCTCAGATGTCTAGCGGTGTGGTCTGCTGACTTCTGGTTGCTATGGAAATCCTACACCTGTCTCTGAGTTGTCACGAGGACTGAATGAGGTGTTGTGCATTGTGAACGTTAGAAGTCATCATCAGAGAGTACATCAGTGGTAGGAGAGCCAGCCAGGAATCCAATGGCCCCCCTGTGAAATTGCCATTTTTGTGTACTTTATAAAGCTTTAAGGGGAAGTATTTTGTTAATGAGATATCTCCCCCCTTTTCTTATTCACATGTTTGATTTTTTTTCCTTTTTTGAGAGGGTGTCTTACAGGGTAGCCCAGGCTGGCCTTGAAACCCTAGGTTTAGGTAGTCCTTCCTCCTCTGCTCCCAGGAAGCTGGGACGACAGTGTGTGCACTGGGCCTGGCTTCCTACCCCAGTGCTCGGGACACTCAGAACTGGAGGAATAAATTAAAGTGTGCTGAAGCAGATAAAACGAGGGGGAAAGAAGTAGACCAAGAAGCAACCTTTAAATCTCTATTTACCCCAGGCACGTGGGCCTGCTCTGCCCCCACCCCCCTGTGTCCCTTCTGCCTCTCTGGTCTCTCCCTTGGGTCATGGCAGTGGGCGCTGCCTCCTGAACACTTCCTCGCGGGGCGTGGTGTTGTGCTAGGGCGCTCCTTTGGTCCATTCTTCACATTGAGAGTTACTCACCTGCTTTGAACTCCATCTGGACCTCGGTGGGAGCCTTAGCCGCTGGCCTGGCCGACCTGTGGTTCTTCCCCCATCTTCCTAACACTAAGTTCTGCAGGGGACTTCGGTGCCATCTTCAGTCTCTCGATGGCTGGCCTGGCCTGGGCTGTGGTTCTTGACTTAGTGTTCCTGACTCAGAGTTCCCGTGGGGCCTTTGTACCGTCTGCAGTCTCACGATGGCTGGCCTGGCCTGGGCTGTGACTCTGTCCTGGTCTTCTGTGTTTGGACTCGGTTCCGTCTGCAGTGATCCTCAGGCTGCCTCTCTGAGGCCATAGAGGCCGTGGTGAGCACTGTGCCCCTGGAGCTCTGGTTCCTTTTTGTTAATATCTATTTTTTAGTTGTAGTTGGACACAAGACCTTTATTTCACTTATTTATTTTTTTTGTGGGGCTGAGGATGGAACCCAGGGCCTCACACGTGCGAGGTGAGCCTCTACCCCTGAGCCCCAGCCCCAGCCCCAGCCCCAGTCCCGGGCGCTGGATTCTTGAAGATGGCCCTGCCACATCTCTCCTGGTGCCTTTCAGTGGTCACTCTCAGCCCAAGCATCTTGGCACATACTGCCTCATTGCGACGTTCACGATCAGTGGACTTCCTGGCAGGGACACCCTGTTGGCATAAATGCTCTACGCGCCAGCTCTGACATCACAGCGCTGAGGGCTGGCCGTCTAGCGGGAGGCCCAAGTGCAGGACGCTTCTCCTTCCCTTGACCTGCCCCCAGGGGGCACTGTTCTCTGCAGGACCAGGCCATGGTGACTGAGTCGCTGACCCGGACCAGAGACAGGGTGCCTGGGGAGTGTTTAGAGAGCAGGGGGGGACTGGAAACTAACAAAATTTTAAAAAGTCTGGGAGGAAGCTGGGCTCCACTGCGCCTTTCCCTGTTGGTGGGAGTGCCTTGGCGGACCTGCACATGTTGGTGGGCATCTTCTGAACACTGGGAGGTGACCCTGGGCCCTGTGCTTCCCAGACCTGCTGAGCTTCCAGCCGGCTTTGTTCACTGCCGACTATTTTACAAGTATAATTAACTGAAATGTTGGGGCCTGTACCTCGGAGCCACTCTGTAGTGTGTCTGAATCGTACAAGTGCTTGGCAGATGTCACGTGTGGTGGCGATCATCCAAGCCCTGCTGGCTCGGGCCTACAGGTATTTCCAGGATGCTGCGTGGTTAGATCTGGCCGTGTGCAAGCCTCCCCGAGTTCCCCCGGGGTGCTAGGATCTACAGTTGTGATAAGAAGGCCTCTGGGAGCCCAGACTCTTGATTTCTCTAGAGACTTCCTGGCTCCTTTAGGTTATTTATCCTCTCTGGTCCCTTGGCATGAATTTCAGTATGTGGGTGTGTTGTGTGTCATCAGTGAACTAAGCAGGCTGAAATGGAACTTGAAAAATGTTCAGAAAAGTTGGTGTTTTCAGGAAAGCCTGGGGCACCTGGCACCTGAGAACCAGGGGTGCAGTCGGGTCAGCTGTGCTTGTGCTGTGCAGTGGTTGAAAGTGACATATAACATGGGCATGTCCCTGCATGTGGGTCGTGTGACGTCTGGGTCAGCCTTTCCAGACAGCTGAAAGACGTGCAGGATGACGGGGTAAGTGTACAGGCAGAGCATGCAGAAGAGCCTGTCGCCACGTGGCTCTGGGCACACTCACTGTGTGATTCAGAGCTGTGAAAGCAGAGGTCTTCACTGGCCAACGAGGGTATAAAGGCTTTTCTCGAGTGAGTGATAGTGGCCTGAACACCTGGCACTATCTTTTTAGCTAAATTAATGAGTCTGAAAAACTGTGCTAAAGGGAATGCTGTCTTTTGCTAAATACCTGGGTCTTCAGATGGTCTGCAGCAGACCTTCTTCATACGTCAGTGTGCGCCTTGGGGAGCTGCCTTAAATCAAATTGCTTAAAGAGAACTGAGTGCTCCTATTTAAGGTGTTTTTAGATGCGTCAACAGCTGGTTTATTTGTCTTACCAATTTAATTTTTGAACATTGGTCTTTAAAGAATGCTTGACTTGATACCTACCAGTATTTTAACTTGTATTTAGGACATTACTGGCCAGAAAAGTAAATACATTTTTAAAATTATTGTTATTTATATAAGCAATGCTATACAAGTACCTATCTTCCCTTTTTTTTAGCATAGGATTGCTAATAGGTTGAAAAATAATTACATAAATATATTTCAAAACCTGTTTCTTGCAGTACGTATATTTTAGTAAAAGGAGTATTGCTTCCAGTATTTTAATTAAGAATATTTAAGTGTCACCCCCTCATACCCCAACACAAGAACAGGGTGCTAAACTACTGGAAGCATTTAAATAAAAAGAACCCATCTTAAACTTAAGGCTCCTAAGACAGACGGAAGTGAGTTTGGAAAATTATATGTGAAAAGGCTTTTGTTTGCTGGTTTCTATCACTATAACAAAATACCTGAGATAATTGGTTTAAAAGAGGAAAGGTTTTGTTTTGGCTTACACTTAAGAGATTTCCGTCCATGTTTGGACCTGTTGCTTTTGGCCAGTGATGGGACAGAATGTCAGGGCCAAAATGTCTGGAACACTGTTTGTCTCACAGCCGTGCCGCTGCACACAGACAGGAAGAAGCTGGGCTCCATCCCTCCATCCAGGGCACCCCAGTGATGTAAAACTCCCAGGAAGCCCAGCCCTTACAAGACTGCACGACCAACAGGCCACTGCGTGGAGACCAAGCCTTGAACAGACATGGGCCTTTGGGGACAGTGCAGCAGGCCGGGGCCTGCCCTCTGTGTGTGGTCATTCCCTTGCCCTGACCGGGCTGGGAAGAGCAGAAAGGCAGTCCGGCTGAGCTGGACTGTGTGGCCAGGTGGCCACCTAGAGCTTGGTTTGGGAATATCAAGAATAATAAGTTCTGGCCTCTGAAGAGGTGGCAAAGAGCCCAGGGGTCTTTTCATTGTCCTTCTCCTCTCTCAGCGGGAGGCCTTCTTGATTACAGCTCAGCTGTGACCTCTCACTGATGACAGTTGTCCTCCTTCAGCTGATGGGGCGTGTGCCTGCTGGTAAGTGAGCGGAGGAGCTGGGTGCGCTTTATGGATGACGTTTCTTGCTTTCTGCTTTCTAGTTGGCCAGGAGATTACTAAAAGCCAGAGTAGCGCTGTCAGGCAGATGGGTGGGAGTTATGTGATAGGAAGCTGGTGTCCAGCCAGCCTGAGTCACGGGCCACGGTGGTAGAGACTCTGTCTCGTCAGCCCCTGTCTTGGGGTCTCTGTCCGGCATGTAGCCTGTCTTTACCTGAACTTCACGGACGACTCTAAACCCGGAGAAGAAGACTCGAAAGTCACTTTGACATTATGTTGATGTGAAGCCCCGGAAGTAGAAGCAGGATGCTCCTCTTGGGGTGAAAAACTTAGAGAATTTGAAAGTGATTGAGGGGAATAGAAGGAAAATCACAAATAACTTTGCAAGATGAAAGAGTAGTAACTCTTTTACTTAGAAGGATATATATATATATATGCTTAGATTTCTTTTAAAATTGCTCTGAGACAAGCCTGGTATGGGGCTCAGCAGTAGAACAAGCCTGCACAAGGCCCTGGTTCAGTCCCTGACCCTGGGAGGAAGAAAGACAAGGCTGTACTTAGAATACCTAGGACTGAGCCTTTAGTTCCCATTTCCAGCTGTTACTCTTTCTGTGCATCTTGCTCTAGGCAAGGTATTTTGCTTCATTTGTAAAATAATGAACTAATACTTATATTTCATTAATGTGAGAACATACGTGATTGGAAAGGAAAGAGTCTTGTGCATCGTTTTGTGTAAGCACAGGAAGACATGGTGTTTAGAGGCTGCTTTACGATAAGTGGGCAGAGATCGCCAGTCGCATGCTTGCTAGCCTTTACGTAAGCTTAAGGTATTTTGTGATCCACACTAAGTATTTCAAGTTTGTTGTCTTGTACAGGGTACCAATATTAGCCAAATGTCTGATATATGAAATAAGATACTTTTTTTCTCTTATCAAGAAGTACTTAATTATGAAAATGGGGGGAAATACTGTATTCACAATAGTGACAACAAACAAGAATACTTTGATGTAATTTTTAGCAAGAAAAGTAACAGATCTGTTTGACAAAGTTGGTGGTTCAATATACTGGGAAAAAAATGGATTACTAAACAAATTTTGCTGGCACCATTAACTGTTCATCTGGAATAAACTGGAATCTTAAAATGTGAAAAAATAGCTCCCAGATGGATTAAAGCATAAATGTAGAAAGCAAAATAATAAATCTTAGACTTCATGTGCAATTCAGAGGTTGGGAAAACATTAACTGAGGTTATAAATCTAGAATATTTTTTAAGAGATAGATTTATTTGGCTACATGAAAAATAAATACTTCAGTGGCAAACGGAACCGTAAACCAAGTCATCGAGATACAGTGGATTTGGAGAGGTGGTTAGGATTTATGTCTAATACACAAAGAGCTCTTCACCTTGATAAGACAAGGCATCTGGCAGAAAAAATGGGTGGAGCACATTTAGATGGGTAATTCACAGGAGAGCAAATCAGGTTTCCAATAAACTTAGGAAATGCTCGAAGTTTAGCATTAAGGTGCTAATGAGATAACCATGGTGTGTGACAGCTTTATTTTTATCTTGCAGTATAAAAAAATAACAAAACACACATTCATGTCCTCATGGTCTCCAGGTGCAGAAGTCAGGCTGCTTCTGCTGGGTCCTCTGCACAGGGTCTCAGGAGGCTCTGAACTTCTTCAGACAGGTGCTGGCTCCTCTCTGGAGCTTGGGGTCCTCTTCCAGGCTCACACAGTTGCTGACAGAATTCTGTCCCCTGCCGTGGTAGCACAGAAGCCTCCCTCTGCTGCCGGCTATCTGCTGGGGCCACCCCAGGCACTTGCTGTAAAGTGCGCCCTCAGGCCTCCTCACCACACGTCCTCTCACTCCTTCAAGATGGTGGCTCAGGTCTGCGTATATAAGAGGGCTTTACTGTGGGAGTGACTGCCCCACCTTTGCCATATTCTTAGAGGCAAGGCACCAGCCCCATCCTGCATGGTTATAGGACCCCTTGGAGAGGTCGTGTCATTTTAGGATTTTGCCTCCCATAATTATTGTCAGTCCATTACCCTGGAAATGACTGGGGAGAAATCCGTTATGTTTCCTGCCAGGTGAGATGAGAGGTCTGTGTAAGAAAGGGACCTTGTATCCAGGACTGGAAACAAAGGAGGGAGAATTACTGTAGCCTTTAAAGTGTTTGCTTTCAGCCAGATAAACTTTTGGATTCAATAAATGTACTCTTGGGAACCTTATGGAAATAAAGCCTCCAATATGCAAGGACATGTGGCAAGGACATTTTTTGCATTATTATTGAGTAGCAGGAAGGCAGGAGGAGGTGACTGGCCATCAATAGGGGGCGTGGTTGGATAAAGCGTAGTTCATCACGGAATCTTCTACTCCACTGCAAAAATGAGCTGTTCCAGGTGACTTAGCAGGTTACCAGCCGTGTTGTGGAGTGGTACCTGCATGTTGGTGTGTCTGTATGTTGTCACCTGGTGTGGAGGGAACCGTGCAGGGATGTGTATTAGATCTTTAATATAAAGCTTTTCATGAAGCTGAAGGTGGGAAGGAAACTGTTGAAGAGAAGCACCCTCTTCTTGAGTCTGAGGTGTGTGATGGAGTCACATCTGTGTGTTTATGTGGTAAAAAATAAAACTGATTTGGATATGGGAATGTTTCTGTTTCTTTGTATTGAATTTTCAGAATGGATGATGAATATTGTCATAGTGATTTTTATGACTTGTTATGTTTTCTGTGGTCCAGATGTATTGTCTTAATATTAAAGTTCATGACTGTGAGTTTAAATGCCTGAAGCACAGAACAGTGGGGGCCTGGAAATGAATGAAGAGCGGACACTTAGCATTTTCTCCTTCAGTGCTACTAGGTCCGGAACAGAAGCCGTGTAAAACCGTGCCGTCTACTGTTGTTTAGCTGTGTAGACTTAAGTAGAAAGAACTCTTATTCCAGTTTCTATATTCAATGTTCTAATTTTGGCAAATCTTCCACATTGAGGATTTTATAAAACTGAATGAGACTATGATTCTTACATGTTTTCTCTTCTAGTGTCTTTTTCTGAAGAAGAGAAATATCAGCTACGGAAGTTTGTCAATAAATCTTTCCTGCTGGACAAGAGAGCTCGCCGGCAGGTGTGCTACGGTTTAATTGACATTCTTCTGGCGTATTGCTACGAGACCTGTGTCACCGAGGGCGAGAGGAATGTAAGTGTATGTGGGCGCACGCCCCTGCACCTGCTACACTGGGGACACACATGGGCGCCTGAGCTCTGTTGGCGAGGGTCCGACCTATCCTGAGGGTCACTTAGGTGCCCGAGCATCTGAAAATAATTTGTTTTCACTCATCTTTTATAAAGACACTATGGTTGGATAAAATGTTTTCTTTGACCAGAAAGTACTTCAGATTATTGAATCTTGGTGAGTGAGAGCGTTCGGTTATATTTGATAAAATTTACCTTTTTTTTTTTCTTCTGTTTACTTGTTTGAAATTGTGACACCTGACACCTTGGAGAACTTTTCTAGACACCCTTAACCTCACAGGTATTCTCTGGAAGGGCCATTTCTTGATCACTAGGAAGTTGACACAGGTGGCACTAAGGGGCTTAGCTGAGAGGGACAGAAATGGAACAAGCATTTTTTACCTTTAGCTTTTAAAGCCCCGGCTTATTTGCTTTTGTGTTTTGGTATTCTTATTAGTAAGAAATTTTTATTTTATAAGATTTTAAGCAAACTAAGTAGAAACGTCTAATAGCCTCTGTATTAGTAAAGCAGTCATTTTGAACATTCATACACGCTTCTCAGTTCTTGTATTTGTCAGTTCTACTCAGGTACAAGTTTGAGTAGAGAGATTTGTTTTATTTTCAAATGACTTTGCTTCTAAAACAGATGTTACTCTTTTCTCCAAAACAAAGGTGGAGTCCTCTTGGAATCTCAGGAAACTGAGTGCCACGCTGTGCTGGTTTGAGGTATGGTTCTGGCTGCAGGTTTTAGACTTTTGTTGTTCATAACGTTATTTTTCAGTTGTCTTACTTCACTCTGGGTAATTCAAGCTACTCTGTCTCAGCACGGAAGCTCTGTTTTTCATCTTTCGTGGTCATGGAGCCGATATGTGCATTCAGTAATTAAAAGTAGAAGCTTTAAAAAAAAGCAAAGTATCAGTTTAGACAGTTGGTCACAGTGACATCAGGTAAGACCCTCATACTTTGGGATGCCAAGTCAAGGCTGTGTGTGGTGTCACTTTGTTCCCTGAGGAGACAGGACTCTAAGGCATTTCGTCAGAGACCCTGATGAGCACGGAAGCTTTGTTTGGCTGTGGACCCGCAGCCTCCAAGGGAGATAGTTAGAAAGATCTCCTCCGTGGCCACCGTCAACACGCAGGAGGGGGGCTGGGCTGTGTAATAGTTCTGCCATCGGGTATTTTGAAAGTCGGTGACTAGTCATTTCCTCATGAGGGAATTAAAATCTGCATGAAAATCCACACATTTGTGAGTTTATTTAGAAGTTTTTATTCTGAGATAATTCTGAATTGAGATAATTTTAATTCCCGTGTATTAACAGCTATGTTAAATGCATAAGTGTTTAGGTTATTGCTAGAGTTTTTTAAAGTTCAGAATTCCTTTTAGATAATGTTCTTTGTTAAATATTTAGCATATTTGATCAAAGCTTTCATGGCTGTGAGAGTTAAGATACGTAGAGATTATCTCACTCCCTTAGTCTTAATTTTATTTTTCAAGTTTTACACGTGATTTCCTTTTTTATACTTACCCAAACCAATTTTAAAACAATTTTATAGAAAATTTCCTTCAGTTTTTGTTTTTTCACAAGGATTCTGGGGATTGAACTTGGGGCCTCAACACTCTAGCGCCTGTATCTGGAGTTTTCAGTGGGTTTTGAGTTGCTAATGGTATCAGTTTGTTACCTTTTAAGATAAAACATTTTTTCAGAAATCACCAGTCCGGGCTTCTTTATCAGTGAAAGCAGATGACTGAGGTGAATCACAGGTGCCACTCATGCCCCAAGGAGAAACAAAGACACACAGGAGGGCAGAGACTGTGGCCATGCTTCACTCTAGTGCTCCTCATCCTGGATCTTTGCCACCTTAGAACAAGACAAAGGACGTAGCGCATACCAGTTAAAAATATCCTTCATGTGCACCTGCATTTTGTTAGCGCCACATGTTTTAGATTTTTATTTGTAATTCTGGAGACTCTTTAAAACTTTCCTGCTACATAAGTGATTTTTAAGGAGCATTTGTGATATGTTGATATAGCATGAGAGATTCCAAAGACTGCAGTAAAATATTGTGAACTGTTCAAAAAGAATCTCATTTCCTGGCTCTCTGTTTCTCTTGTACTTTACTTCATGATGACCAGGTTCACAGTGTTTGATTGAGAATGGCTTCCTGTTTCATTGCATGCTTTTGTTGGTAATACTTTATGGAAATGACTGCTGATTAAAATGGCATTTCACAGACTTGGAACGATATTCATGAAATCCTGGTGTCTTTTGGAAGGAGAGTTTTGTGCTACCCACTTTATCGCCATTTCAAGCTGGTGACAAAGGCCTACAGAGATGTAATAAAGATCTTGCAGCTAGGTAAGATACTGGGCTTGCAAATTTGGGAGTGGGAGAGTCGTGAGTTTTTAGGGTGTGAAGACTTAATCATGTTTTTTGCTTTTGCCTGTATGTAAGTGATAATAGTTAAAATAGAGTGACGCCTTCCCCAGGGGTATAAAGTAGTTGTCCCTCTGCGTAGACACACACTCACCCGGAGGCCTAGTGTTCTTCTCCAAGAGTAGAGGGTAGGAAAGAGCATGCCGTGTTGCAAACCAGCTCGCCCTGCGGTGGGTAATAGGTTCAGTATTCCTCAGAGGCCTGTGGTGGACTGTGGGCCTGACAATAACTACCTGCCCAGTGAGAGCTGGCGCTGTGTCAGATGATTCGCGAGTGGCTCGAGGCAGTGAGAAGAGCTCGTTGGGCAAGTGCAGGGACCATTTGGGAGCACTTATCACCTAGACTTGGGAGGTCAAGAGGGACTTCCAGAGAAAAGTACAGCTACTGGGACAACTTTGCTGCTAAATTCAGCCTGAGAAGACAGATACTCACTAGCTCCAAGAATATGCGAACTTCCAGGCTCCGAAACAAATTCCAAAGCACGTTAAGGGTCTAGTTGCCAAGATAATGACTTTGGGGGGTGGCATCTGTGTGTGTGTGATCAGCAGAATGTCCATGCAGAAGTCACCGTAGGGCGTCATAGTCCTTCTCAAATGTCCCCCTGCGGATTCTTGTCCTTCTTCTGCTCTTAGACACAAGTGTTTCTGGGAGCCTCGTTCTCAGACTTGAGGATAGAGGGCAAGAAGGGAGTCCCTGCTTGGGGATCCAGGTGCTGGCTTGGCTCAGTGGGCAGACTCTGGTCGCCAGTGGTTATGATTCTCTTGTGAGGTTCTCTGTCCTCTGTGTGACCTGGAGTTGTCTTGCCCTGGGGGAGAAAGGCGTGTCTGAAGAAGATCCTCTTAAAGTAGATAATAATTGTAAAAATGAATCATAGTTAAATGAAAGAAGCCTTTTGAGTCATCTAGTTAGATTAGACTATTTCGAAAGATTGTTGATTATAGGATAAAAGAGCTAATATCATTGAGAAATCAATCTTCTTTACCAGTGGGAGGAAAATCTGCCTCTTTTTTATATATATATTATTTCTTCTTGCCTTTTGTCCAAGATAGTTCTTGTATTTCTAAAATCACCTTGAAAATCATTCTACTATAAAGAATGATTGTAGGGCTTGAGCCGCACATCACAATTAATTGTTTTGTAAGTCATGCTAGATTATCTGGGCATGATTCATAGATTTAAACCACAAGAACTCCTAGATTTAAGCAGTATGTGATTATCCTGTTACGTCACGGCTTCCGGAGCAGAGCCAGCGAGACCTGTGTGTGGCTGCACCCACACTCATGCTCACTCGCTTGCTCTCCTACATAGAAACTGTTACTTGTTTCTTTTTATTCTGGGAAATAATCCAGTTCTGTTTTTTTTTTTTATTTGAGAAGTAATCAGTTCTTTGATTGCATAACTGAAAAATAAACTTGATTGCCTTGACTTATACTCTAATCAAACAGTTTTAGTAGATCAGAATTGAAATTGAGACTTATCTTTTCGTCATTGTCTCTCTGATAAGCAGTAGTTTTATTGGCAGTATTGTGATAGCAGCAGGAAACTTGAAATAACATGCGTGGGCCTCGCTCCTGGGACTGCATCAGAGGCCCTGTAGACAGGCGCGGGGTGCTGTGGCTCATCTGGGCTGTGGTTGGTTGGTGCCAGACACAGGACTGGCCTGTCTCTAGTTCACATTGTGTGACGAGGATGCTAGGATCCTGGTGATGGTTGTGATCTTGTGGCAGCACAGGGACACCGAGTTGTCACTCTAGACTCGTTTGCACGGACACTCATAAGTAAGTGAAGGTGGCTCTGCTGTGGCATTTAGTGTCACCCTGGAATGCATTGGTGCCTGCAGGTGGTTTGCAGCGCAGCCCCAGCATTCCGCTTCTTCACACACGCCAGCGTGGTGCTTCCACAGTGGGGACGAGAACGTGGATAACTCGCCCCCCAAGAGATGTCCATCTCGGGTGAGCTTCCCAAACCCCCACAAGGCTTCGGCATCTGCAGAACCTTCACTGTAACCGAGGGGCTGCAGTCGCAGTCTGCCCCACCTGACTCACGCCGTTGTGTGGACCCTTTCCTACACCTCTGGTCTGTTAGGGCTCTGTGCACCTGCCCACCCTCCCTCCCTCTCCCAAAAGGCGGTGCTTATCCCTTGAAATTTCCCAATGTTGATCCTGATTCTTTGGGGCAGGAAATCTGGCTTTGCCCCCTAAGTACTACTTAGTGCTTACACTAGACCTTGCCCACAGCGCTGCACTCCCTCCAGCTGTCAGCTTGTGGCCCACAACTCCCCCTTCATCTTCAGCCCCCCCCCTTTCTCCTTCTGTCCCCGTCTCCCAGCATCCTTCACGACCTCCTCCTCGCTCCATGCCTCTGGGAAGGGACAGGTGGAATCGTGGGGAAGCACCTGGAGCTGCGTGGGTCACCTGGGAATAACAGGAGAAGGGATGGGAAGAGCTCTCTGGTGACTTCAGAAGTCCTGCTCGACCTCAGAGGGACGAGCCTCAGCTTCACGCTTGGCCACAGGTCACATGTGCAGGTCACTGCGTGTTTGTGTGTGCCTCATGGCCCAGAACCGGCTTCCTCTGGCTCACGGCGGATCACGCCGACTTCACTCTGCTAAGACCTTCCTGGGCGTTTGGCTGCCCCGGGTTTACGAAGGGGTCCTCACCTGCTTCTGTGAGGCGGCCGAGGGTGAGGAGGGGGAGCTCTTCAGGCTTGGTCTTCCTCCCGTTCCCCTGGGAGCCTCTGCCGTCCTGCCCCCGTGGGTGGAAGAGTTGTGACACCGGGTCTCCTATAATACACGCCCGGTGACTCTTCTCTGTCGCTTTAGATAGCAAACAAGTCTTCGCATCCCTTCTAGGTGCAAGCGGAGTCTAACTTCAGGACTCTGAATGCTCACCTTGAACTTACTTAAAAAGCCCCCCTGGCTTCCACCGCCTGCGTCCGGCTGCTGGGAAGCCACAGGGAGGAGGTGGCCCCACTGCTGCTCCTGTCACAGAAGGACCCCTGACTCCCAGAGCAGCCCCTCCCGGAGCCACCTGGCTACTCTTTGCTGCTGTAGCAGTCCTCGTCCCTGACAGTTACAGCTTCCAGGGCACGGGGTTGCCCCTTCCCCAAGCCTCTTTCAAATACGTGTTTGGTACCCGTCTTGTCTTTAGTGACTTCAGGGCAAACGAACGGGAAAGTGCCCCCTAACAAGCTGGCTCAGCAAGCAGTGACAGCCTGGGGCGGGCTTCTTTCTGTGTGCCACCGCTGGGTCGCTCCTTGCTGCCTCCTCATCACGTTTCCCGTGCACCGTGACCCTGAGGGGCAGGGAGAAAAGAGTGTCCGGGAAGCCACGTCTGTAGCCCAGGGCCACCGTCTGTGCTGTGGATGGCGCAGCCTGGGTTTGACCCAGCTCCAACCCAAGTCTGGGCCGCATCTCCATGGAAATTGTTATAAACGAAACTACATCGAGTCTGAGGTTGGCCTCCGCAGTTCCTGGTGGATGGTGGGAAGTGGTGGGTGTGGCTGAAGCACATTGGTCACAGGTGATCATTGCTGGCCGGCACTGAGGGCTTGGTATTCACGATACTGGCCTGTTTTGTACATGTCGAGAGTTTCCTTTATAAATAACGTTGCTTTGTTTTGTTTCCTGCAAGTCTGGGTTCTTCACCCCTTTATGTTTCAAACTTAAATTTATCCTTGTTGTGTGGAAAACGAAATGTGCGTTTGGGCAGTGGTATGAGAACGTTGGGGTAATAAAAACCTGTAGTTTTCTGTCTGTCTCTCTGTTGTCCAGGCTGGTGGGAACCTGACTTCCGCAGACACTTGGAGTCTGGCCACTAGCAGCTCAGGTAGGGAAGCCACCCTAGGCGTCTGGCTTGACTTCAGTAGCCCTCCGGTCAGCCGATCCCGAGCTCAGTAATAGCCAGCTGCTCAGCAGTGACTGCTTCCTAACCCTTCCACAGCTAGAACTTGACCAGTGTGAAAGAAAGGAGGGGTCAGGGCACCAAGCACAGGGCTAGCTGTTGATCTTCTTTACGAAGAACGATGGGCAGGAAATTGAGGTCTGGTAAGTTCCGTGCAGGAGCTCCAGATGCTGATGAGGGCGTTCTGTTTAATGTTCACACTCTGTTGATTCCGGTCAGCTTAGCAAACACTCAAGAAAATGGAACTGTAGAGGGGATGACATACAACTAGACTAGCAAGGCAGAAGTCTAAGACTGTCCGATATTGATATTCATCTTTATTTAATTTTCATGCATTCCTGGCTGGGGACGTTCTGGGGAATTGTTACGCCTTTCGACTTTTTAGACGCACCTATGGCGCTGTCCACGGTTCACCCAGCAGGCCCCCACTGGCTTGCCGTACTGAACTGGGTCCAGCAGTAGTTCTAATTGGGGGGGGGGGCACAGAATCATGCTGCAGGTTTAAAGAATAATTTCTTTTTTTACTTGTAGTAAGAAACTCAGAGGAGAAGTATGGGGAGTGAAAGGGTAGGCCAGGGAACCTGACGGGCTTAAAGCATTGGGACACGTAGCCACCTACAAGGGGTCCCTGTGCTTTATCTGACTTCCTCTGGAGTGCGTGTTGCCTGGCTGACGAGCTCATCTGTTAACTGGCTCACCCCACGGTGTGTGGGATGATCCCCTACTCAGCAGCCGTTCTGTGCAGGGTGCCCAGGAAGTTAGAGTAGTTGCAAGGAATTGACCAGGTGGATGGTGTTGGACACACGGAGCCTGAGCACTAGCAGGGACACTTGAGATGGCAGTCACTAGCCAATACCTCACAGACCAGGGGGGTGTCGTAAAGAAAGGATGACTAAGTGGCTCACAGAGGGGGAGGTGGGTTTCTCCAGGGGGCAGGGAGTGTTCTGCAGGGTAAGGGATTGGAATTGGGGTTGGGGAAGCATGGTGCTGGTTCACGGAAGATGCAGGGCAGTGTGGTCA